CGCTTTAACATAACTCTGTACTATGGTATTGGTGATATATGAATTGGGTGCCATAGGATGGTTCTTGATGGCCAACCAACCTAATCAAATATGTATTTTGCATTGTACGAGTGCAAAATAAGTTATTAGGAAATTACGCATGCGCATGCGCATTGGCCGATCCTGTCAAATCTCGATATCTGTTTTGGGGCGTGTCTGGTCGATGTGAAATTGCTTCAGCCATTGGGTAACGGAATTAACTGGTGTCTGTGTGAAACCCGCTGTAAAGTGGCGGTAAAATGAATTTGTGCGGTTTTTGCGCTGCTATTTTCTGAATGATTTGGAACAGCTATGGAAGCCGACCATTTCATTGATAAAAATCTTGTCCAGAATATGATTTTAAATGACCGAACTTATAGAAAAAACAGTCTTGTATTGTTTTCGGGAAGGAGAAATATCGAGGTGGCGTGGCGTGGTGAGTAGATTTTCTCCCCAGGACGCCGAGTTGGGCGTCGGTACCGAGAGGGAGGCGGTGAATATGGTGTCGAGCGTCCAACATAGTAAACCAAACTTAGAACTCGCGATACTGGTGCAGACGACTATGGTCGAACAACTATGAAAAATAAATGGCGGGACTTTGGTGTTGCACATTCAGCACAGAAATAAAAGACACGCCCACAGTTGGACAACCAATCATTATTATTATTAATCACGATGTACCTCGGATCATCTCCACGTCCTTTGTGAACACCACATACACGATGTGCCGCCATCCAATGGCGGGATGAGCGGCTTCCTTTGTACACAATCAGCGTCAACTTCATGAGAGAAACACAACGCACTTGCTAAGCCAGACCGTCTGGCGGCGCCCTACTATTTCATCAATAACCAAATACATGTATACTATTATCCTGTTCCCGAATTGGACATTTGTTTATTTGGAGTAATTTCCAATTCTACGCCAGGTACTTAGTAATTAATTATTCCACGTATTTATTTGGCCGTTATTTGACAGACGTAAAATGCCATAATGTCAAAATACACTGACAATGAATTAAAAATTTGCCAAAAAATACTAAATTTGCTATCCCATGGAAATAATTCAAATCAAAATAGTTGGCATTATATTAAGTTTTGCGTCGCATGCACACGATTGAAATATCATATAAAATAGGCCTAATATACTAATGTTGTGTTTATTTAACCGTGAGAACGAGTTTACATCCTGGAATGGCCACGATGTACCACGGATCATCCAGCCATCCTGTCTTCTATACAATATTGGTGAACATATAACAAAGACTGAGGTAGGAGACAAAATAACCACCAAGACAATAGGGTTATACCACCAACCCAGTCCAGCACCGCTGGTCGGGGTGTCCCTACAAACCTACAGGCAAATGACATTAAAAGAAGGACATACGTCTTTGAGTAGACCATCCTTTATGTTATGCTATGTTACTTTTATTATTTTAATAAGTGTGTTATTGGGTTTGCCGTGATTGAAGGTTGAGATGCCTGGTATACAAAAATACCTGTGCACCAAGGCTTCCACTCAGGCAACTTTCCATATAGAAGCAAGATAGCGACAAATATTTTTTTGACACTTTCATACACAGCACATTTTCGATAGGCTAGTACAGTTCAAATAAGCTCAGTGTTCTTCCCACGTAGGAGGTAATCCTATGTTAAGCGATCATGTCATCATGTTTGAGTCTTAACTGCCATGCTTAAAACGTTTCAGCATGCAAATAAAATGCATTGTTCACATCCATTTGACTCGGTCACACAGAACTGCATGAATGTGATCACCATTGTGAAAACACCACATCTGTCTGAACTTGCTAAGCCTTATAAAATGAGTTTTATGTCAACATGACTTGTTAAGTTCCATCTAAGCCTTACAGAGTTTACAGAGTCCATATTTACTCTTACAAGAGTCCCCAAGAAGAGAGCGAAACTGACTGAAGCATGTTGAAGTGATGGACAGAAATGGCATACGGCATATTACAATGTGGTAGAAATTCCCTTGTTTATTTTTAACTTCAGATAGTTCAGTTATGGTGATTTTATATATAATTGCTGTCAGTTTGTGTGCACAGTGTTTTGCTAATTGAAACGCTGTGACACACAGGTACACCAATTGTCACCACCTTGACATGAGACTAGTATTGACAAGACATGCAAAATAGAATTAGCAGATAGGATACTGGTCTTTATGAAAAAAGTCGCAATCATATACAAGGATTTACCGTTTTTGTTTGATATTGTGGAATTTTTGAAAAGTTCTTATCCTATTGTCTTTCTTTCACAGAAACTCGCTACTCCAGAAGTGACCCAGTTTAGAAAGTTAATCAGGAGACAGCAACACCTGCAAGGCTTGCTTTATTTCGCAGATAAGCTCTTCATTGCCAGTATTGCTAATCTGAGTGACATATTTTCACACATGACAAGGTAGTGACACCGTGTCTTGTAAAATTATGTGCAAGTAGAGGGTGTTGTCAGTTTCCATGCCAACCTAACACAACAGTCCTTAGGCCACTTATTATTATTAACAAGTATACTCACTCTCATTCAGAGATATAAAAACATTCACAACAATTATTTGCATATGGTGAAATTCTTCCACCATGATGAGGCCAATCACTATGAAATATCATAGAAGATTGTTCAAAACATTTTCACTGGAACTCTGAATAAAACAAGGTCATATTTTTAGTACACAAAACTTTTAGTCCCCATTTCTTGTTCATAGAAGTGGACTTGATTTGATATAGGATGGAAATATACACATACCACCCTCACTGGGAGAACAGTATCAGAAGTAACTAAGAAGTGCTCATCCAGAAATCCTCATTGTTCTCCATTCAGTGTGGTCTCTTTTAAAGAGACATTCATACTTGTCAAATCTGGCCAAAGTGTGCTTCTTTGAAGTATTGTGCGTTAACCCCGTCATGAGCCATACAGCAGTGATGTCCTGGTACATATGGGACCCTGTGCACAAATATTTTTCTGTCTGTCAGGGATCCAAGTAGGATGCTAAGAAACCATGAGCTCTATTATCTACTAGTTTTTACAATTTCCAATAGCCTGCATTTACGTTCAATTGCTACCTTTTGAACATCATTTGACTGCTCATTGAGTATTATTTATTATTGAGTACATTTACTTGGATAAACCAAGCCTACTATGAATTAATTAAAGTTCAAATAGAAGACCTAGACATACTTTTAGTTTTTGGCATGGTAGGGGTTTTCTGCCCTATTCACCATTACTTACTTTTAGATTTTGGCCTAACATCTTGATGTCTCCTCATTGTTAGTATTACTGGTTAGTGTTAATTTTAACCATTTTGTGTCTATTGTGTGCATTTTGCGATTTCACTTTGGTGATATTCTCGCTCATCTCATGCAATCAAACATTTAAAATTGTCTACTGTGTTCTGTGATGCCATTAAATATGCTTCATTGACATATGCATGGAACTCACATGAGATCTCACCGTACTTAAATATTAAACTATTAAACCCTTATCTTCTAAGTCTAGGTGACAAACATCCCAAATACAGAGTTAACAATATATAATATTAGGTTATTACGAGGATACCTCAAAGTATGCATCGACCGACGCGCATAGGAGGTCGATGCGACGGCGTACTGTCCGAGTGCATACTTTGAGCTATCTTCGTAATAACCATATTATTATACATCTTTTCCTTCCAAGGATACATCATGGGAACGCCGAAAACAAAATCAGCGAACTTCTTTGTGTGGAGTCCGGTCAAACCCTGGTGGCAGCCATGTTTGTTTATATTATTAGAGAACGCTTACGCGCGTAATCATTCCATATTTGGAATTCGCATTTCCTAATATGGTAGGATGAAAATACCCCGTAAAATACCGCACAATTACGGCACGCTGTAACTTATGGCGTTACGGTGACAGATATATAAGTTTATTAACTGTATCAAAGATAATCTCCCACCCTTGTACTCGGATTATGTTTCGCGGGTTAGGCTCCTCCTCACAATTTCTCATTTCATCTCGACAGTCAGTGCGTGACCATGACGTTGATTGGTTGATAAATGTATCATGTTGCTATAAACTTATTGTTGGCTATTAACGTTTGACAGCCACATCCCCATGAAATTTAAATGATTAATGAGCAACTGCTAGATTGTCATACAGAGGAAACCTAATTGCCCTAATTCTAAGCCTAACTTGTCTTGGCAAAAGATTGAAACAAAACATTTAACATATATACCTTGTTGACCTGTTAGTAATTTCCAATTACCAACACGAACTGCTGCCTTTATTTTCACATCAAAATGGTCATTCTTCAACCAAGGATCTTCTGCTTTTACATTCTTCAGCATTGTTTCTGGAACCAAATTTATGAGTACATTGTCCCTCATAGATGGATGGTTTTTGCTATTGGAAATATAAACATAGTAAAGACTAGAATAGTATAGAATATATATGATCTGGTTAATTATAATTCAAAAAAATGTGATCATTCATAAAAGCTCAATAGGAGTGTAATCTATAGTAAACATTTATAAATGTCATGGATTTGACAATATTATTTATGTTCGTGGTGAACATACAAATTCGTTTCTTTTACCCGGTTTCTGTGCCAATGATGCTCTCACATGGTATCAACTGCCATATTACTGATTCAAATCTGGAGTGGAGATGTAATTACATGATCTATCACATGGCTGAGTATGCAACGTGATAATGATGTAATACACTTAAGGTAGAAGCCTACTCATAATTTTTAAGAAATTTGGCCATAAATCGCATGACAATGTTCATTGGTTTATTGTGCACACTCATCGAGCTATTTTCTCATGACACAATTTAATAGCATGTTACAGTGACGTTTGTTTGAAAGAAAATTGTCCTAATATTTTCCAAAAATCTCTATTTTTAAAACAATTTCATTGACAGTGTCTTAAAAAAAATGCATTTTCGACACTTTTTAAAACCCAGATTTTTGAAATAATTCTGGACAAAAAACACACGTCATTTAAAGTATGATTTTTCCAACATATGCCGCCAGCCTACAATTTAAGATATGGCATAATATCTCTGCCATAGGAACCTATAGTAAAAGAATTATAATAGTACCGAAATGGCCACTATTCACTAAAATAAAACCATTTTCTCAAATTAGGCACAACAATATCCTCATATTACCCTGGAGTACAATTTATTGCAAAATTTATTTTCATTTATGAGTAGCTGTTTACCTTATTCAAGTACCCCCGAAACCAAAAAGCAATACAGCCAGACAGAATAGACTATGAGTTGGGTTTATTGACTACATAGCTATATATATATATATATATATATATATATATATATATATATATATACTGACTGTGATGTATGATGTTTACTTGTGCGTTACCATCTAATCACCATGGAGCGATGTCCACTATATGTCCTTTTGAACTGTATTTTTTGCTCATCGACTGTGGTGTGGCAGTTTAGGTGATTGCCATGAGCGTGATTTTTATTCCAGTTTTATGTTGTAATATATGTATGGTTAACTGCAGTGTACAGTTTAGTAAACGATCTAGTCAAATGTATAAGAGATTAGTTCCAGTCGTGGGACATTTACATACTTTTGCTGTATTTATGTGTCCAAGCACGCTGTCTGTTATTATAATGATTTTGAATATTGGCATATGGTACAAGGAGACTGAAATATTACAGATGTAACATAGACATTGTGATAGAGACATTCCGTGTATAAAATTTACATCTTGATCAGCATGCACTAAAGTACCAAGCTAAGTATTACATAATTACATAATGATGTTGGAAGAACAGTATAACTATATCTTTTTGAATGATTGGTATGATGTAGCCCAAACAAAATTATGGACTGGTCTAATAGCAGTTGATCATGGATCCAGCTTCAGGTGTATAAGACACCAAGTATTACCAAGTAATTAGTTATCTATCAGCTTATTCATTAAACAGTTTTACATTTATGCATTATATGTTGTGTATATTTGTTGTGATAATTGTGATTGTATAGAAGATATTCTATACCCTGAGTATATTTGTTTGTGCTGTGATTAATTAATATTCCTAGTATACTCAATATATTCAGTTCAGATAGGACTTTTAACCAAAATATTAAATTGAACAATTATCTAGGAAAAGGTATATGCTTTTGCATTTTTTTAGCTTCCAAATTGTTTTCATATATGAGAAAATTGTTACACTAGAACAGTGATTTTGAAATTTGTATTCAGTGCATTCAACTGAGTACAGGCCAAATGTCAATGATTTGAACTTGTGTGAACTTGTATGAATATATAGGTTGCCCTACAACCAGACACATCCACACACAAAAAAGCTAAACATACACTATAAAGTTCCTGAGTAATTCACTATCAAAACATCATGGAGGGACTACAAGAAATGTGCCTATTTGTTTGCAGCCAGACTATGTAGAAGATAGTACTAATAAAATATGATATATTAAAATATAATGTTATAATATAAAACACCATGCAAGTTCGGTGCACCAAAATGGGTTACCTTCAAAGTGCAGTATGACTGTGCTACTGGGAGTAGTTTTAGTAACCAAAAAAAAAAACTGGGACCAGTTGAACATGAACTCATTAAATTGGTTCTACTTGGAGAATTTGTTGCAAAGAACAGTGGTAGGAGTGAACTAAAAGTACTCACATATAACATCAACAGCTAAAATGAGAAGCAAGATGACACAGCAAGAGGCCTTGTACATGGTATCTTGCTATCTGAAGAAGAGAGCAGGAACATGGCAAAGCTGCTGACAGAGTAAAGATGAGCATTTACACCGGGGACTTTTCACCTAGACATCGAACAAGAATCGGAAAAGCAGGCGTAGAACATCTTGTAGACTGACGTGATAAATTCATCATCTTCACCACCGCCCCAACAGTAGTACAAGAGGTTCATTGATGTAGCATCAATGGATTCATGTCCAAATCTGCTAATTGATGAATCTGGAAGAATATTTCCCGGGCTCCATGGTTTTCAACTTTAGACATGTGGGGTGTTGGCAGGTTGAGCTTGAAGATCGCAGTACTACATTAATGACTTGTTGGAAACATGTAAGTCTACATTAATGACTTTCGGTTTGACTAATGTGCCCTCAACATTAAATTGATTGTGGAGGAGGTGATGATTGAATTACATTTATTTAGATGATGTGATTGTGTATGGGTGTAGTTTGAAGGAGGAGATCAAAGAGATCTAAATAAAGGTAGTTTTTGAATGTTTTCTGTCAAGACTGTGTGATGACATGTCAAGTAACATGTGCAATATAAACATTACATAATACTATGTAATTAACCAATCAGAGGAAAGTAATTGACATGTTATATAATTTCTACTCATGCTTGGTTCTGATTTAACACGTAATAATAAAATAAATGCGATATTTACTATATGGGGGCCGCCATCTTGAATGCAGCATAAAAATAAATAAGAGACAAGTTGTGAAACGCGTTTTTCAGATTCCTACAAATCAGGACAAAAATGCCAATCTT